GTCCTGGTGCTGCCCACAAGCAGAAGAGTCTACCCCCCCCCCCAAACTCCCATATGACACCAGTCTCAAAATAGCTTGTCTCAGAAAAACTAAGCAGGGACAGAAGTTGGTGGAGGACCTGCTAGGAAAATCCAGGACTGACCAATCTGTCAGGAGAGTTGAAAGAACTTCTCAGGAGAAAGTAGCAGTGAACCATGACCATATTGTTTCTAAGAAAATAGCATGGACATGTCTATATGGACCCTAGAAGTTGCATTCTATTTGATGACATTGACTTTCCATATTGCTGGCTGACTGAGTGAGGAGGATATCAATATTTTTTTAAACCTCAAATTCCCATCGCAGGAATTATAGAATAATTTGTTTTCCATAGGTTGTATTCAGCTTGTGATCTGTCCTCCCCTTTCTATTCTTATCAGGTTGATGTCCAACTTCTGTTAAAGATTTGTGTCACCATTTATCATTTCTTTTAGCTTTAGGATAACATCTTAAAAGCTCAGTTCTCCAGCAGCTATGTAGAAATAGTTGCAAACTGAGATGTATGCATATACTCACTCATACTGTTTTATTTTTTAATAGCAAACTAAGCGACCAATTTTAGCCTAGTGAGTTATGTGAATGGAGCAAGTAAGTTTACTTTAGGATGCATGTAACATCTGAAGGTAGAAAATCAGAAAATAAAATCAGATTTTATCTGATTTTTCAGAATAGTCAAAATGTCAAAGTATAAAGAGAAATTGGAAAACACTTAGAGCAGCATGCAAAGGAGTTTTAGTGAGCAGACAAAGCAAAGTCCCATTTGTAATCCTGACATTTCTGCTGGAGAAAACTCCTCCCAAATTAATAAGAGGGACAGGGGGAAAAGATCACGTCCTTCGTCTGAAGGAAAGAAATAAGGTAATCAACGGATTTTCAGTGGGTTGCTGAGTTGAGTCCAAGAACTATCTAAATACCTCATTAGAACCTTCTTTAAAGAACAACCTGAAAGACTGTCTATAGCTTGGCATCTCACCGATCTGTTTTCAAATTTTGAGATGTCCTGTGCTTATACTGTACCTCTAAATACCCTATCCTCATACGCTAGGCTTAAAAATGAGTAGTTACGTCTAAATGGCGCCATCTGCTGGACAGTCTTTTTTTCTTAATAAATCAAGTACATAATCTAGCACAAGGGTAGGCAATCTTGGCTCTTTTATTCTGGGAGTTGAAGTCCACGAGTCATAAAAGAGCCAAGGTTGCCTACCCCTGATCTAGCACATGGGGTGTTGACTTTTGTCTTGTATTGCAGGCGGAGAATAGAATAGAGCTGGAAGGGACCTTGGAGGTCTTCTAGTCCAGCCCCCCGCTCAAGCAGGAGAACCTATACCATTTCAGACAAGTGACTGTCCAGTCTCTTCTTAAAAACCTCCAGTGATGAAGCACCCACAACTTCTGATGGCAAGTTGTTCCACTAGTTAATTGTCCTCACTGTCAGGAAGTTTCTCCTTAATTGTAGGTTGCTTCTCTCTTTGTTCAGTTTCCATCTACTAAAGAGCCTTCAGTTTTTCCCACCCCAATCAGAGGGAAGCACTCTTTTTGAACCTGAGTTTATAGCAGATTAGCAAAATGATATAAACTAAGACTCTGCTGGTTATAACAATGTAATACATTCAGATTCAATGATACAAAACTCTAACATTATTTAGTTCTATAATGATTTTATTATCAAAACATTTACAATTTAAAGCATAAAACACCACTGGAATTAATTTTAAATAAATTAAATACATATTATATATAAAATATTACAAAACGTATTATGTTTCATATTTAATTCCTTTAAATAAACTTTTATTTAAAAATAAGGAACTGTGGACTTAGAAATTCATATCTTTTCTTAATATTTTATGTTAAGTCAAACAAACCATATGATGATTTAAGAGCAATGTGTGAATACATTCCTACAATTGAAACAATCAAATTTATGGAGCTATAGAATGAACAGAAATTCTAGATTGCAAGTATAGATATGCAGGATTTTTTTCAGGAGGGAGTGTTGATCCTTCAGGAGCATTCAAATTTCTAAATTACTAATAGATGTCTCTGTGTTATTTATTAAACTATTCCTTAATATGATGTATAAATACTTTCAAACAAATTTCCATTTTTTTTAAAAAAAAAGAGATAGTTCTGGGTTTATTTTGGAGGATTAGTTTTAGAATTGTTTCACTTAAACTTTGCTTCCAAAACAGATTTAGTCATCTTTGATTCACACAAAATTGCATACATACTATCTGTAAGTTAGATAACACAGTACTAAATCCCATAGGGATGAAACATTTTAAAAGTCTTGATTCATTTCAAGATATATCAGTGATGCCGAATCTTTTAGAGACCAGGTGCCCAAAAACCGACTCTACCCCCACTTCGCCCTGCCCTGCTCGTCCCCGCCCGCCCGCCCGCCTGCAAGGCCACTCATTGCCTCCACGGCCTGCCACAGATTGCCCAGGCGGCCCAGCAGTGCCATGGTGACCACGGCCTATGCCCATACCCCACAGCATCAACTGCTCGCAATGGGGGGCAAGGGTGGAGTCTTGTCCCCGCTGCCCGGCTGCCATGTTCTTGGCTGCGCTGCTCTGCGTGGGCTGCGCTCAGGGGTGACTCTCCTCCAGGGGGGCTGCTGGTGAGGGGGCCACAGGGGGAGGCGAGGCTGGGGCGACAGCGCGCATGCCCACAGAGAGGGCTCTGAGTGCCACATCTGGCACGTGTGCCATAGGTTCGCCACCAGTGAGATATACTATTGACATTAGAGGACTACATGTAGGTACATTTCTGCAAGTTTAGGCTTTGGCAGAGATAATCAATTATCCCATTCTGAAATTATTTTAAGTATTATTTTGATAACTTCAAAAACTATAGAAAATTACACTATAACAATTAACATCTCCCTTTTCTATTGCAAAACTGAACTGTTCCCTAGAGGTATTGTAGATAAATGTACCAGACTAGTTAAATATTGAAACATGGCCACAAAAGACAAAATGTACAATTCTACATGAAAACAACAACAACAACAACAACAATAATAATAATAATAATAATAATAATAACAATAACAACAACAACATAGGGTGGAAAAAGTTGTTGAGAATGAGAGGGTGAAGATCTTGTGGGACTTTCGAATACAGACAGATCACCATTTGGAACACAACACGCCAGATATTGCAGTTGTAGAGAACCGAAGCGTACAGCTGATTGATATCGCTGTACCAGGAGATGCCAGAGTCGAAGAAAAAGAATTGGAAAAAATTACGAAATATTGCGACCTAATCATCGAAACTGCGCGATTATGGATGAAACGTGTAACAGTGATACCCATTGTCATCGGGGCACTGGGAACTATGTCCAAAAACTTTGCAAAATATTTCAAGAAACTGCAGCTTCCTGCAATAACTCCAGCAATGCTACAAAAAACTGCGCTACTCGGAATATCTTATATTTTAAGGAGGTACCTGGTTGATACCTAGGATGCTGGCAGCAACCCGTGTCAACCATCAGCGCCAGTCAATTTGAATGTTCAGTTGACTGAGGTTCACATCTAATGAATAATAATAATAATAATAATAATAATAATAATAATAATAATAATAATAATAATAATAATAATAATAATAATAATAATAATAATAAAGTTGGAAGGGACCTTGGATGTCATCTAGTCCAACTCCCTGCTCAGGCAGGAAACCCTATACCATTTCAGACAAATGGCTGTTCAGTCTCTTCTTAAAAACTTCCAGTGTTGGAGCATTCACAGCTTCTGGAGGCAGGTTGTTCCACTGATTAATTGTTCTAACTGTCAGAAAATTTCTCTTAGTTCTAGGTTGCTTTTCTCCTTGCTTAGTTTCCATCCGTTGCTTCTTGTCCTGCCTTCAGGTGCTTTGGAGAATAGCTCGACTCCCTCTTCTTTGTGGCAGCCCCTGAGATATTGGAACACTGCTATCATGCCACCCCTCTTCCTTCTCTTCATTAGACTAGACATACCCAATTCCAACAACTGTTCCTTATATGTTTTAGCCTCCAGTACCCTGATCATCTTTGCTGCTCTTCTCTGTACTCTTTCTAGAGTCTCAACATCTTTTTTACATCGTGGTGACCAAAACTGGATGCAGTATTCTAGAGTGGCCTTACCAAGGCATTGTAAAGTGGTATTAACACTTCACGTGATCTTGATTCTATCCCTCTGTTAATGCAGCCTAGCACTGTGTTAGCCTTTTTGGCAGCTGCAGCACACTGCTGGCTAATATTTAAGTGATTGTCCATTAGGACTCCAAGATCCCTCTCACAGTTGCTACTATTGAGCAAGGTACCACCTATACTATACCTGTGCATTTGGTTTTTCTTGCCTAAATGTAGAACCATACTTTTTTCACCATTGAATTTCATTTTGGTAGATAGTGTCCAATGTTCAAGTCTGTCAAGATCCTTCTGTATCTTAAGCCTATCTTCTGGAGTGTTGGCTATTTCTGCCAGCTTAGTGTCATCTGCAAATTTGATGAGTTCTCCATCTATCCCTCATCCAAATGATTGATGAAGATGCTGAAGAGCACTGGGCCCAGAAAAGAGCCCTGCGGCACCCCACTACACACTTCCCTCCATGTAGATGCAGTTCCATTGACTTGAGTAGTTCTGCTTTCTCCCTGATGCTTGTCACCTTCTTGCCACTTTCTCCTACTACATATACCTTTAACTGTTTTCAATACGTCAAAAGTATCATTTATAAAAGAGAGAATAAACTGCCATCATCTTTGTTCTAGATTTACAGAAATGGAAGGCAGCTATCAGAGCCTAAAATATATAAGGACAGAATATACCCTCAGTTAGACTGGGCACAAGGCTGGAACATATTCCATGCCACTTGGATGGCTTCTATTCTTCCTTGATATGTTGCCAGCATTGGAACAGGATTGTTGTGGTGGGACAGTTTGCTTCTTCTCAAGTCATTGTCCTCAAGGAACCTCCCCTTATCCCTGTTGGAAAGGCTTCTCCATGGAGTGGCTGGATATCATTTCAGAGACATCCAGATTTACTGGCTGAAAATAATAAAATGTAATAGGGTTGGATGTGCCTCAATTTTTTTCCTTAGGTATTCCAAATATTGGTGAGAATAGATCAAAATCCTATGGCCATAACAATATTTTATTTAGTGTTTATAAAAGTTGAACTCAGGAGAAACTTTGTATGTTTTTTAATCCAAATATTTCTGTGGCTAGTATGACACAATATTATTTGACATAATAATGTGAAATTATTCTTAGCTGCAGACTATTTTTGACCTCACTTTAAGTCAATTTCCAACCTCAATATTTAAAGCGTCTGTTTCTGGGTGTTTCTTTCTGGAAAAAAAAACCCTTCTGTATGACTAAGCTCATATGAATTTGTGCCACAAGTGATTATGATGTTATTTTAACAGACAATTACCAGGGATTCTGGTAATATTTTTATTGTATATTTTCCTGCACTATTTATTAAAGTATTTTCTTATTTTATCCCTTCCACTGTTTTTAATATTTTAGCTCAGTTTGAAATCTGCATAAAAACTCTGTAATATTAGGCAGATTATTGGAATGATTAATAAATTAGCTACTGTTTATCTTTTCCTCCAGAGCAGAGATTCCTAAGCTTTTTGCCATCACACCTCACTTTTGTGTAATCTTAATGTATACACTTCCCCTAAAAATCCAAACATCAAAAGGAACACAAAGCAACAATGAAAATACTGTGAAGAAAGTTTGGGAAAGTTGAATGTACTGTAATAATATAAAAAGAAAATTTGGCAGTAAAATTAGAAGTTGTAGTTATGTGATGTCTCCTTAATGACCTGTGGTGACTCACTTAACAACCAAATGGGAAGTAATGTTAGTAAATCTGTCATGTTCCCTTGATGTTTTCCTTAGTGATCGCATCACTTAGCAACAAAGTTGTTGCTGTCCCAATTGTGCTCACTAAAAAAGGACTACCTGCACTGCTGGAAAAGTTGGATTAGAAGATTATCAGAAATTTAGATTAAATGGAATCTAAAATTTTATAAATCCACTTTAAAAAGCATCATATATGGAATAGATCAGCCAATTGTATCCCAGTTTAATATAGTCCTCTGGGTGAAGATGAAAAAATTTATCCCATGGAACACTGAAAGAAGCCCCAGATCATTTTTATAAAGGTTCAAGACTTAAATCTGAAATGTGTCTTAAATACTATAATATTTTCTTAGTCAACTTCGTCACTTAATGGGAAAAAATATATAATTTTTTCATAACTCAATATCCAGCCATGAAGTAAAAACTTCAAGCATTATAAAAAAAGATGTTCAGCTTTTTATTAAAACATGTGATTTAACATAAAATACATACATAGTTTGGCAACCAGTATTTCTCCAGGCTTCAGGTAAAGTTCCCTTTCTCCCAATCCTATAACCTAATACTATTCCTTATTAGAAACGTTAGCATGTGCCCTTGGCTACTTTCACATTATGGAGTAGCACTCTACTACTGAACTGTGCTCTTGGCCTCCACCCACCCACCCACCCACCATTCTATGCACTATTAAAAGCAATAAACAATAGCTTTCTTCACAACTTACTTGATTAAATGATTTGAGCTTGGAAACTACCTTCTGAATCAAGGCTCGAAAAACTGCTAAAAAACACAGGAAAAATAATGTAAGTTACTGTGCCCCAAAACAATATACTAACAGCCAAAAATTGCATTGGATTCTTCAAGAATCTGGGAAAAGATCATACCTTGTAAGAGTGAATGATTTTCCTGCAAGAGAGAAGGGCAATGAAGAAACAGAAGGAAAGAAAAAGAAAAAAATAGTAAGGTAAGTAAGATTTTTTACTTTTTTACCCATTTTTTAGCAATTGCTAATATAAACATCTGGATTATCCTCTTCATTTTGTAAAGAATCATCTTATATACATACAAAGAATATAAATCATTCTATAATTCTGTATGTATAAGAATATGTATCAAAAGCATTCTCATAAGTTGCTTTTTAAGTTAATCTTGCTCTCATCTGTTATCAAAGTGAAAGTCCACTCCCATAACACTTATTCATAGAGTTAAATGTACTTCAATTACTAATTTAATTTATATTTAATATAGAGATTTCTTTTAAAACAACAGATAATATCAGCCCAGGAGAAATGACTGGGACTGCAGCAGTCATGAATGTGAAATTCAAACCTTCCAATGCTTGGTACAATTTGAAGAAATCTCCCATTGATTCCAGTAGAAATTTTGTCTGAATGCACATATCAACTTCAGAGGATTACAGCAAGAGTGGAAAAAAAGTTCAATTTTTCTTTCATGTCCACTGTAACAATCTATATTACTTGAATCTGTTTAAAACAGATATTTTAATACATATTTTTTTTGCTATTGGTATGTGCATCCAGACAAAAATTTTATCTCACTTTTATCTACACACACACACAAATGCTCAAGATGATGAATATAACTAATAGTCCTGCTTCCTACAGGTTCGTGAGAGAGATTAGGCTGAGAGATTTACCTTGCAATTTGGCTATTTCTACATAGTATTGCAGTTTCTGTATATAAACGATTGGGTATTACTTTAAAACAGTAGATTGTAAAAATGTCTTACTTTTTTTTGGAAGATGCTTTTGGACCCAAATAATGAACAATATCACTGATAGGACCGAAAGCCCAGTGACTGGTATACCAATTGCTAAGAATTTCCCAAGTGCTGGAAAAGCTAAAATTGGAAAATTAGAATAAATTAGAAGACTATAAAAATCTGTTCTATTGGCTTTGAATCTATTGTTCAAGACAGTAATGGCAACCCACTTCTGAAAAACCTTGCCCAGAAAATTACAGGGACTTATACAGGCATTGTCTGAGAATTGGATATGATTGAGCAGATAAAAAAAATACTATATAAAGACAAAGAGGGAAGGGTTTTGATAATTGAGGCTAAACTGAATTAAAAAAAACATAATAATTGTTGTAATCTATGCCCCAAATGGAGCTCAAGTATCCTTTTTTAAAAATCTCCATAATAAGCTGAGTGATATAGAGGGAGATGGTTTTTGTATAATTGGGGGTTTCAACGCGATCGTAGATAAAACAAAAGATCATAAAAGCACGAAGGCAAGGAAAGGAAACAAAAAAAACACCACTTCCCAAAACCTTTTTTGAGATGTGTACAGATCTTAGTTTACATGATGTTTGGAGGGAAAGGAATTATGATAAGAGGGAATACACATACTTTTCTAATAGACATAGATCATGGACTAGGATAGACATGCTATGGTTTTCAAAAGAATTAGACTCAGAAATCCAAGAAATTGATATAGAACCTAGCCTCTGGGCAGATCATAACCCTATACGTTTTCGCTTGAAAGGACAAAGGAGCAGGCCAAGATGGACTCTCCAAAGAGCGATTCTCAAAGAAAAAGAATTTAAGTAAAGTATGGAGAAAGAAATGCACTTTTTCTTTCAAGCGAATGACAATGGGGATACATCCTTGCAGAACATTTGGGATATGGCTAAAGCATATATGAGGGGTGTAGCAATCTCATATATGGCTAAGAGAAACAAAGAGAAAAAACAATATAGGATGAGGCTTGAGGAAGAATATAAACAGGCCGAAATACAATTTCAGAGAGAACCTGAAAATAAAAGATTGAAAAACAAAATGGATCTAATTAAACATAAACTTTGTATAGAGGATTCGGAAAAGTTAGCACAAAAATTACAGGCAGCTAAGCAAAATAATTTTGAGCACGCGAACAAACCGGGAAGATGGCTGGCGTATAAATTAAGAAGACAGAAAGAGAAGCTACGGATCATTAACTTGGAAGGTGAGAAAGGAGAGATTCAGGGGGAGGAAACTATTAAAAGGGGAATTGCTCAAAGATACTACGAAAAATTATATAAGAGGAATGAGGGAAAAAAAGTAGAAAGGAAAATAGAATACTTAGAGAAGGCAGATATACCGAAGATACCAGAGGGAAAAAAAATCTACGTTAAATGAGGAAATAAGAATGATTGAAATAACCAGGGCTATAAGTAAACAAAAGATCAATAAGGCGACTGGCCCAGATGGAATACCAGCGGAACTATATAAAGAGCAACAAAGTGTACTTAATCAATACTTACTAGAAGTTTTTAACGCCGTATTAACTGAAGCTAGAATACCTAAGTCCTGGACAGAGGCAAACATAATATTGATACCAAAAGAAGAAGCGGAAAAAACATGGATACAAAATTATAGACCTATATCATTATTGAATTCTGATTATAAAATTTTTGCTTCAATAATGGCAGAGAGATTTAAAAATTATTTAATTGATTTTATACATTCTGATCAAAATGGGTTTCTACCAAACAGGCAGACTAAGCGAAATATAAGAACAATTTTAGACATTCTTGAATTTTATGAGTCGCATAGTGATCGTCAAGTGGCACTTCTGTTTCTTTATGCACAGAAGGCTTTTGACAATGTCAATTGGCTATTTATGATCCAACAATTAAAATCAATGGATGTTGTGGAAAAAATTTTAAATGTGATAACCGCAATATATTCTGAACAAAAGGCCCAGATCATAATAAATGAAGAGGCCACTGATAAATTCAATATTCAGAAAGGCACAAGACAAGGATGTCCTCTTTCGCCATTGTTATTCATATATATATTAGAAATTCTAGCTAGAGTAGTAAGACAAGAAGAGCAGATTAAAGGATTTAGGATTAATAATAATAATAATAATAATAATAATAAAGTTGGAAGGGACCTTGGAGGTCATCGAGTCCAACCCCCTGCCCAGGCAGGAACCCTACACCATTTCAGACAAACGGCTGTCCAGTCTCTTCTTAAAAACTTCCAGTGTTGGAGCATTCACCACTTCTGGAGGCAGGTTGTTCCATTGGTTAATTGTTCTAACTGTCNTGATCTTGATTCTATCCCTCTGTTAATGCAGCCCAGCACTGTGTTGGCTTTTTTGGCAGCTGCAGCACACTGCTGGCTCATATCTAAGTGATTGTCCACTAGGACTCCGAGATCCCTCTCACAGTTACTACTATTGAGCAAGGTACCCCCTATACTATACCTGTACATTTGGTTTTTCTTGCCTAAATGTAGAACCTTAATTTTTTCACCATTGAATTTCATTTTGTTAGATAGCGCCCAGTGTTCAAGTCTGTCCAGGTCCTCCTGTATCCTAAGCCTAAGAAGGAAACATACAAACTTCAAGCTTATGCAGATGATTTAGCATTTATATTAGAAGACCCAGAACAATCAGGGCAGAAGCTATTCGAAATATTGGAAGAGTATGGAGATTTGGCAGGTTTGAAAATAAATAGAAATAAAACAAAGATTATTGCAAAAAATATGACTAATATACAAAAAGGAAACCTTGGGGGAAAATTAGGTATACAAAGTTTCTAAAATAAAATATTTAAAGGTAGTTATCTCAGCACGTTGCTCATCAATTAAAGAAGACAACTATGGCAAATTGGTAAAGAATATAAAAGTAGATTTAGACCGCTGGAAAAATTTACACCTCTCACTTCTCGGGGGAATTGCAGCAGTGAAGATGAACATTCTACCTAAAATGATATTCCTGCTTAAGAACATTCTAATTCAATTAGACAAGAATTTCTTCAAGGAGTTGAATAAATTAACCTTAGAATTTGTGTGGTTAGGAAAGAAGGCAAGAATAAAATTAAAGGCATTACAGGATGCCAAAGAGAGAGGAGGTTTAGGTTTCCCAGATTGGGAGTTAAATTACCAAGCAGAGGCCCTGACGTGGATCAGAGACTGGATTACTTTAGAAAATAAAAGATGTCTACATTTAGAGCAGCGGTTCTCAACCTGTGGGTCGGGACCCCTTTGGGGGTCGAACGACCCTTTCACAGGGGTCGCCTAAGATCATCGGAAAACACATATTTCCAATGGTCTTAGGAACTGAGACACCGCTCCTCTATATCCTTGGCCTCCTCTTCCTCCTCCCCTTCTTCCTCCTGCTGCCCCCCGGGCGGCTCGGGAGGGCGGAAAAACAAGAGGGGTGCCTGGGGGGGAGCAGCCGAGCTGGCAGAGGGGCTGGCAGGGGCCGCGCGGCACCAGTCCCCACCGCAGCTCCATCGGATGGACAGAGGGCAAGGCCAGGCAGCGCGGAGTCCCGTCTGGGGTGGCTGCTTCCTCGCCCTCCTCCTCTCCTTCTTCCTCCTGCTGCCCCCAGGCGGTTCGGGCAGGCGCTGTCCCCACCGCGGCTCCATCGATGGGCGGAGGGCGAGGCCGGGCAGCGCGGAGTCCCGGCGGGGGTGCCGGGGACCCCCAACGATGCAGCCATAAGAGAGAGAGAGAAAGAGAGAGAGGAAAGAGAGAGAAACAGAGGAAAAGAGAGAGGAAAGAGAGAGGAAAGAGAGAGAAAGAGAGAGAAAAGAGAGAGAAAGAGAAAGAGGGAGGAAACAGAAAGAGAGAGAGGAAAGAGAAAGAAAGAGAGGAAAGAGAAAGGGGGAGAGGAAAGAGAAAAAGAGGAAAGAGAAAAAAGAGAGGAAAGAGAGAGGGAGAGGAAAGAGAGAGAGAGGAAAGAGGGGAGAAAGGAAAGAGAAAGGAAAGAGAGAGACAGAGAGAGACCATTTTGACATCTAAAATGAAGATAACACTGCATATATCCTTGTTTACCTTTATTTTATATATACACACACAAACACAGATACATACTGTTGGAATATTCATGAGCAGGAAGAGTCATGTGGTAACTCAGTCAGCCAATGTGAGTAAAGTGCTACTGAGTCTGTGCAAAAGGGTATTGAGTTAGAAGCTGGGTTTCAGTCTCAGGTCTCAGGTCTGTCTCTGCTGTAAGAAGTCTTCATTTATGCTATGTTGTTATGAAGAATAATATATGGTATTGTAAATAATTTTATATGAATATAAAGAGTTCATTTGAATCAGCTAAATGCAGTCAACTGTGAGAGCTTCTGATTTATTTTTACCAACAGAGAAATTAAAATTCTCTAACAGGTTATGGGCCCAGAGCTTACTAAGGACTGCATTGTAATTTAAAGCTGGAAGGCAGAATTAGCAGAATGGCTGCAATGGAATTTAAGGAAAGCTCTGTACCTCGTTTAGGGCAAAAGAATTACATTATCTGGGCAGCAAAAATGGAATGTTTGCTGAAAGCAAAAGAGCTGTGGTATATTGCAGAAAATCCTCCACAAGTATTTGCAGCTGTTGATCAGAAAAGCCATGATCAAGCAATGGCTTATCTCATCTTGAATTTAGATGATGAATAATTTCTAAATGTTGCAAATCTAAAGACTGCAAAGGAAATTTGGCTGAAGTTGAGAGCTGTGCACGTGAATGTTTCTGCATGCAATATAGTGCAATTGTCAAGAAAACTTTACAGAGCCTGTTTGCAACCAGGTGAATCTGTGGAACAGCATTTAAATAAAATGCAAAGTTTATTTTGGGACTTAGAACAACGTGGGATTAAATTTCCTGAGTCACAGAAGGTTTTATTGGTGTTGAACAGTTTAGATAAAACGTGGGACACAATTTCTGCTATATTTGAGTGCAAAGAAGAGAAAGACTTAAATTTTGAGGCTTTAAAGGCATGTTTGCTTAATGAAGAAGAAAAGCACAATTTCAGGAGTAGCCACGAGGAGGAGAAATTCCTGAGGAGGGGGTCCAGACTGCAAGTCTCCGGAGGAGAAGGAACCAGCAGCATATGGGACCAAGTTGCAACAAAAGAGCGATTTTGCAGACAGAGAGCTT